TGAGAAGAGCTTGGCAAGGGGGAGGAACAAGTGAGGGGGGGGGATGGCGGGATTGGTTCTTCGTCCATGTCACCTAGAGTTAGGAAACACGCACGCTGGGAAGGAGGAGGGGCTTGTATTGTGTGTCATAAGAGCATCTACAATCACACTCCTCAAATGCCCCCTATACGTCCGCACAGACGGACTGGTAAATGACCGATCAAAAAGTCGCGGCCCTGCCGGCCCCCTCAAACCGAACCTAGTCGCCCGAGCTGACCGGACATATGTGGGGCGAATATGCATGGGATGGCCCGGACGTCGGACTAGACAAACTAGACTCACCTCAAATTCTACAAGCAGCACAAGCAACAGGCCAGGGTCTAGGCCCACCACAGAGAAGCGCCAACCTTGTTGACTTGTAGTCCAGAAATGGATTGTCTAAGCCTTGTACCAGTCTTAGTGCATCTCCAACACTGACCCCCAAATCAGACACATTTTCTGTTTGCGGACCGGTGGGGACAAGCCTGCAGACAATGATATGGGAGCCGGCCATCCAAGCCAACTGCAAAACTTCCTCGTCTTTTTTAGTCCGCAACTCAAAATAACCGCATATCAAATCGTAGTTCTAATTTAAATGTTACAATCCAACAAAGTTTTCAAATTAATGTAGGTCAAACTTTAAATCAACTAGCACATATGTTCTAGTTGTCCTCTTTAACCGCCCTAGGTATTCAATCAATCTTCGTTGAGTTGCTCAATGCCGAATTTATTGATGCATTTGAACAAATTCATCAAACATGGCAGAATTCCGTCTGAAAGTTTGATAGGATCACCCATGTTCTCAAATTCAAGAGTTGTGGCAACATCTCCACCCTCATCCTCCACGATCATGCTCGCATGAGCACACACCATGTCATCACCTCCCACAAGGTCTCTAGATCCCATTGTTTAGCATGCCCACCGACAACTCTGAAACGAACCTGGAGCATTCCAAATGCTCTCTTCGCATCCTTTTCTAACTGCTTCTTGTCTTTGCGAAAACTAAGACCTTTTTCTGACCAAATGAATCAAATATGCTCATAGCAAAGGTAGCCCACTGAGGATAGATAACATCAATCAGACAATTGCTCATGTTATATTCATCCTCATTGATAGTATAACTGAAAGGAGGAGTTTTTTTCCTTCAGTTAGCCTAGCAAACAATAAGACCGTTGATTGCTAGGCTAACCGAAGAAAAAAAAACATGTCAAATCCAGAGATCTTGTGATGGAACAGCTTCAAAAATGATGACGGGCTTCTTAACATGGCTACTACTGTCCCGCGCTCTCATTTGGTTCCCGAGCTTTCGGAGACAGAGCTGGATGATTGCGTTGTTGCAGTGATCGGGACCACCGTTCGATATGATCCTGCGCGTGCGTGTGTGATACTGTGATAGTATGAATGATGAGAGCGTTACGACTAGATTAGTGCGATAGTGGAGCACGCGCGATGGGGAACCAAAGAAAATCCCGGCTTGCACTTGCACGCGTGCGCCCGGCCGACCCATCAGGCGATCGCCATGATTAGCCTCTCACTCACTCAGTTTGGCGGCCAAGTGCATCGGCGGTTGGCCGTGCGTCGCCTTTTGGCCGGCCGGCCGCCGGCGACTGTACGTCAAGCATGTATAGTGCTCCTACTCCAAAAGTTCCCTTTGGCGGCGTGCCGTGCTTAAGGGTACATCCAAAGTGCATCACGAACCATATATCCACGGTGTGCGGCGCGCACGGAAAGGTTCTTCTGTTTAATACGTACTCTTTCCGTGCGGAAATACCTGTTCTAGAAATGGTTGTATCTAGACTTATTTTAGTTATAGATACATCCATTTTAAACCATTTTTAGGATAAATATTTCCGAACAGAGGGAGTACTCTCCGTGTACTTAATTATTACCTTTGGTTCGCAAGTGCCAACACTGTTGGCCTACATAAGCACCATGCACGAACACATGATCGACCATACATACCATGTCCATTAGTACTGTTCATAGCATACCGTGTACATGTATATGTATGAAAACCGTACGTACAGATGATCGACATCATCATTCTATACTGCTACGTACACAGGAATAAAGCATCTCGGATTCCATGCTCGAGCACAGCACCGACTCCAATTAAGTGGAGGCGGACTGTGGAGCAGAGCGGTGTAGCGTTCCTCGCGATTGCTCACGCCTTGAGTTTGGCCAGGGGAGCCCGAGACGGGAGTTGCTGAAGGGAAACAAACAGAGCATGGGATGGAATACAATTCAGAACTGTCACAAGAACAAAACGGAGCCAATGCAGGTTTGTTTGTCAGTGAAGTTTAGTAGGAGTATACCTGGTAGCAGGAGATGAGGGAGGTGACGAAGCCGAAGGCCCCGGTGACCCTGGGGGTGACCTTCTTGGGCGCCAGCTGCAGCAGCCCCACGGCCACCACCACGTCCATCCCCGCCTTCACCAGCGCCAGCAGCCGGTCGTCCGACTGCTTCATCTTCCCCAGGTACTGCTCGTCCTGTGAGAAGATCACAAAGCACAGCACATTATGTTAAAATTTTAAAATACATCTTCGTGGGTGGCAGATTTAAAATGATACCGTACCTCGTATTTGTCGGCGCCCCTGAGCTCCTTGGCGCGCTTCCTCATCGCCTTCGATAGCCTCTTGAGCTCCCCAAGCTGCGATCCCACTCAAAAGATCAGTCATGGACATATCATAGGAGTTTCCATGAGATGAAACACTATTGTGCCTAGTACGTACCTCGACTAGGCTTGCACAGACAGAGGAGGCCATCCAGCAGTAGAGGGATATCCTGGCGATGCGGTCCGTGCGCTCCTTGTTCTACATATATATATATACCAGCAACAGCAGAAATTCAAATTACATTTCACAAGTTGCTAACCAATTACTATAGTCGTTGGAGTGGACCATTTTAGAGGGCGAGACGCTTGAATCTCGGCAACGAACCAACCTGGTATATCCCTGATCTTCCTATCCACACGAACTGGTCCAGGAACAGGAAGGTCGACAGCAGCGCATTCTTAGACTGCAGTCACAGACAGTGAGAATATCATTCTGACAGCCTTACTCAAAGGGGTTTCTTGTTAGTGAAAAATTAACACAGGTACTAAAATGAATAGAGTACCTACCTTCCCAAGCAAGACGAGTGTGAGAGGGGTCCCTTTGGGGGCTGGGCTGATGAGAGCATGCAGATCGTTCACCCACTGCAGAATCGCAGATCGATCGAGTCAGGGCCAAAACCAATTTAACACAACTGCAGCCTACATGGAGCAGATTATAATGGTACTCCAAGGTGGTGGACTGACCTTGAGGAGGCGGAAGACCTTGCGAGCCAAGGTGGTGGACTTGTCGACGTTCTGCGCGGTGCCGGGCTGGCCGTTGCTGATGAACTTGGAGCCGTACTGGATGGCCCTGCAGATCTTGTCCCGAGCCTCCGCCTTGTTCAGGTACAGCACCGCCAGCCCCAGCTCCGCCCGCGTCGCCTCCAACGAGCACATCTTCCTTCCTGCGCTCCCAACTTGTAAATTAATGGCACGAAATTCAACCAGATTTTCATGGCAGTCTTCTAGTACTACTACGTGTGAAACCTCTTCTGAACTCGATCTGAAGCAGTTCGAAATTCAGAAGACCAGAGCAGAGCTTACAATCTTCTACCGCGGCTGACAACAAAATTCAGAACTCCAAACGCCGAAGCAGGCAACAGCTTATAATCTCCTACTCCTACCATCGACAATTTCTCATGGCAAGTAGGTGTAATTCTCGGAAAGAAAGCTAGGAACTACTAAAACAGAAGTGAGTGAGCAGGCCGGGAGATGCAGAGAGGCTAAGCTAAAATTCTGAAACAGCCAGCTCAGGAGCGCATTGCAATACTGCATCACTACGAAATCAGGCAGCAGGCATGGCTACACAAGCTGGCATGGGACGCGAGCCGAAGGTTACCTTGCTAATGACGGAGCGGGGCGAGGGCAGGAGGATGGAGAAGGGGCCGGCCGGCTGGTGCTTAGCTGCTGGGGAGGGGAACTGCTTCTCCGGCTGCTACTGCATCCGATTTTTGTGTGGACTGAGAGGAGATGAGCCGTGGAGGGACGGACGGGGCTGCCTCCCTCACCTCCGGCTGATGAGAGGCGGACGGGTTTGGATTTTAGCCCTGCCATGCGTGTGGCTGTAGCCTGTGCCCACACGACACCAGGCCGTGAATGGATTTAGCGGTAGATAATTCGTGTGTGGGCTGGATTTATATGCAAGCGCTCAAGGCATCTCTAATCGACCCTCTTAAATTTTGACTTTCCCAATGTCTTCTCAAACCTTAGAGCATCTACAACCGAGCGCCTCACTCATATGATCGGGCTCTTGTCATGGTTTTTTGACCTAGACGAGACCCACAAACGGCCCTCAAACGTCTGGCCGGACCGGCACTCCCCATATCTAGCCCAAATATGGGGTGGATATGGGGCGCCCGCCACGTCGGACCCGCCCACGCTGGCCTCCCGACCCAACATAAAATCCTCCTTATCCGTTCATCGGACCAAACCCTAAGCAGTTCACTCGCCTCCCCTCCGCCACCCAAGATAGTCTTCGGCTCCTTCCGGTCGTCTCCGGCATGGCGGGCAGCGGATCCGAGTCCTTCACTTCCTGATCCGTCAACTCCGAGCTCATCCCACGCAGCCCCGAGGAGGAGATGGCCGCCTAGCTCTTGCCCTCCGCCGCGCCCGGGAGGAGGCCTGTGGACGACTGCGCTCGGACTCCATCCGTTGGGAATCCATTGCGTCCGCCCAAATGGCGCATGGATCCGGCGCTAGGACGATCATAGCTGCCTCACTGGAGGTCGTGCGGTCCGAATGGCGTCTGAACGTGCTGGCGGACGCGCAACCCCTCTGGTGGCGCGTCGACATTGGGGACGAACCATTGTCCAACAAGGCTATGGCATGGCGTGCCAGTTGTGCAAGGCACCGCGCGCGGGAGGCGGCGATGGACGTCGGCGAGGCAGAGTCGCATTCTCCGGCGCCCTGTATGGCGCATCAATAAGGGCGCCGCAACCGCATCGTGGTGGACGTCAGCGGCTCGTCCCCGAAGGGATTCGTCGTCGATCTGACGTCCACCGACACTGTTTGAATTTCGGAAGAGTAGGGCTTGGGAGACGGTGGTGCCTTGAGTCCCGTGAGCCGGCTCGTGTCCCATGCGCTAACCTACCTTGCCACCGCCCGGACCAACACTATGAGGAGCGCAGCCAGCCGCCGGACATGGCCAGGGCGGAGCCGGGTGGGCAGGAGCAGAACCGGACGAAGCTCCCGTCAAAGATCGTTGTGTTGCATGTAATAATATGGATTTGGCGTTTCTATTTTGAGGTATCCGATTGTGGACTGCTTTTTTGAGGGGTGGCCTTCCACTGTCCGCTGACACATTTGAGGGATCAGATTTGCCAAGTCCGACTGTAGATGCTCTTACCACCTCGAATTTGAGGAGTTAAAAAGCCACGGACTCCCGCTAAAACTTAGCTCTCTAATTGTTTTTTCCTTTAGATCACTAGTTCATACAAAAGGCATTTAGAGCATCTACAACCGGACGCCTCAAACCATCCCTCATACGCCCGCGGACATGCCCGGTCAGTGACCGGACATGAGAGAGAAGGGAAAACGTGACCCAACCGGATCCCCTCATATCATCCTTATACGGCCGGGCTGTCCACGAACCCTCATATCCATCTCAAATATGGGGGGCATATGAGGGCTCACGGACGCGCCCGTGCATTCCGCCACATAAGATGCGGCCCCACCCTGGACCACCTTTTCTCTTTCTTTATCCATTCTTCTATTTTTCTCTTCATCTCCACCAATCACATGCAAGTGACCAGGCATATGAGAAGAAAAATAAGGAGTGTAGTTGTGCTGACAGATAAATAGGGGCTCAAAACGGACACGCCCGGTAACTAACTGGGCGCGTCCACGGGCATTTAAGGGGTCATATTTGCTATGTTCGGCCCTAGATGCTCTTAGGATACATGGTATCTATAACAGAACCCTTAAGTTTGAACTTCTTAAATGTCTTCTTAAACCTTAACTCCTCCAATTTGAAGAGTTAAAAAAACATGGATCTAACCTATCCCCTAAAATTTAACTCCCTGATTTTTTTAAAGAAGTCTGACATGAGTAACCCTCAAATTAGATCACTAGTTCACCCAAAATAAGTCGACATGAGTACGCCGCACCAAGCTATTGATGTACCACAATAGACACCATTTGGGTAGGGAGGCTCTCGAAAACTTTATTTGGTAGATCAAGATAAGCACCACCGCATAATAACCCCCCCCCCCACACACACCTCCAAGGAAAAAAGAACTCCATCTAGTATCCCCACCCCCTCGCCCCACCCCCAAAAATTCATGGTGGAAGAGTAGTGGGACAACGACCTACCGGCGGAGGAAGGGCGACTGCATGGTGCACCCAAAAAATCTCCTTTCTACGGTTTAGAGAGGAGATAGTAGTTCGATGGATCGTAGATAAGTAAAAGTTCACCAACCAATATAGTATAGAATTTGAAGCTTAGATCTTGCAAATGGGAAACAAGACCAGTAGGGGAGCAACCCCCTACATTTTTTAATTAAAAGGAGAATGTAAGACACAACGTCCGAGTCGAGGCTCGAACCAGCGCCAGCTAAGAGACACCACTGCGCTTTGTCCATTGGGCCAGGAGCCTGGAAGATTGACGCCTTTTAGCTCTACTAAGGTTCGGAAGGGCCAGGCCACCCCCAAATGCAGCTCTTCACCTTAGCTGGTACAACACGATAGAATCCTCACGGCGGAGAATTTGGCAATCCGTGGATGGCAACACAATCTGATATGTCATCTTTCTTGCATTCGTTGATACTTTCGCTCACCTATGTCGAGATTGCCCCTTCTCCCAGGAGGTATAGAGGACTGTCAATGCCGCCAAGTAGATGACCATGCCAAGCCCGTCTAATGTTGATTCTTCCATAACCCCGTGGTTGGACGGGTTCCTCGCGAGTGCCTCCGAGCGGAGCGTGAGGGAGCGTAGTGAGACCATGACATACTTGCTCTAGAACATTTGGAAGGAGAGGAACTGTCGTCTATTCACCGACATGAGGATGACCTACCGAGAAGTGGCTAACCAAGCCTTGACGGATATTCGGTTACAGAGATCTAGTTGTTTTCTCTTTCGCGAGTAGTCTGCATGCCGTTTGTGGCCAATCTGCCCCACCCCCAACACACAAACACATGAAAACCTCGTGTAGATCGTTGTAACACTCTCTTTTTTTCTAATTGAAAGAGTTTTCTCGAACAAAATCTTGCAAATGGTGAAAGTAAAAAAGTCTTCTCCTTTTTCGCGGGGAAGTGAAATATCTTCTGAGAGAGCAGTGGACATTTAAAAAAATGCATTACCTTTTAGCAAAGTTTAAAAGATATATGGTGGAAGCACACAAAACACAAAATTGATTAAAAAAAAAAAGAACACTTGTTTTCTTTGCTTTACCCCATGAGCATGTTTGTTTCTTTGCCAAAATAATACACCTTTGATTGCCCGTTATTATTAGCAAAAATATCTTGTTTCCTCTTTGTTTTTTCTCTCGTTTTGCGACTTTGGGCCCACCTGTCATTTTTTCTCCTATGCTGCGGTTCGGCCGGTCGGGTGAGGAACGGAACAGAGCCTCCTTCCTCTGCGCGCTGCGCCGCCCCTCGCCGTCGAGCTCGCTGCCGCGCGACTCCTCCTCCTACCAAGCTGCACCGCGCCCCTCCC